GTGCTAGTGACACTAGTGAATGAGATCATCTTGAGGGAAACAAGACAAAAGAATGGATGACAGATGAAATTCTTGAGATGAAGAAAGTGACAACAATACCAAGCAATCATAAAGATTACAGAATATTAAATCCTGCAATTAGAAACAAATGCAGGCTGTATAAAGAGGAATGACTCAATGAAAAGTGTGCCGAAATAGTAAAATTGAGTATCATGGATAAAGCAAGTATGCATAAAAGAATTTACAGGATAAAAAAAAACAATGTAGGCACAAAGAAAAAAAAATACTCTAGAGGTGGAATAAATATGAAGGACTGGATATAATAAAGTCTGAAGTAAGATTGTTCCTGTTCATTTTGTCCAGAGTCAAAGTAGCAGGATCAGATAGGATTGTTATAGAGATACTATCAGCTTTAAATGATTTCAGCATCAATCAGATAACATAAATAATAAATTAAATATACAAAAGTGGCAATATACTCGGAGACCTCAGTTGATCCATATTTGTAACTGTTTAAGAAGCCAAAATGCAAATGAATGCAAGCTCCATTGAACAATCAGCAAAATGAGCCACATAACCAAACTTATCATTTGAATACTGATTAATAGAACATAAAGTAGAATTAGACCAGAAATATGACAAGAACAGTTGTTTTGTCAAGAACATTGGGACACAAAATGCTATATTTATGACCAGAATGATATCTGAGAGAGCAATACAAGTACAGAAGGAAGTACACTTGTTTCAAATGCAATGGATATACACTTACTTTATCAAATGCTTTTGCATTTGATAAAGTATAACACAAAAATCTATTTGAACTGCTAGGAAAATTATATCTATTTGGGAAGGATATTAGAATAACAGGAGGCATTGTGGAGCAATGGATAGTGGCTCGGATTGAGGAATTGGAGAGCCAAGTTCAAATTCTAGTCAAATTCATTACATTTACTTACGTATTAATACCCTTAGGAAAATTATGAATCATCTTCTCCCCTCAGCTATAGTTGAATAGCAGGATAGACCAGGTTCTATAGCCTTGGATGGCAACTGGTGTCTCACAAAAAGAAATGGCAATCTATTGCAGGAAAAAATCTGCGACGTCAGTCATGTATCGAAAGATATGTGATCGCCTAAGCATGTATCACACATGGCACATAACTGACTGATTAGAATAACCCTGAACTTATACTGAGAGCAAACATAGAAAGGAGGATAAGACAAGGATGTATCTTCTCAGCAGATTTATTCAGCCTCAACAGTGAAGCTATCTTCAGGGAGTTGGAGTCTCTACCAGGACATATTGGTTGAGAACAATCTTAATAATATATGTAGATAACACTGTGTTGATGGCAGACACAGAAGAAAATCTAAAGGACCGGCTAGACAGGGTAGTAAATGAAAGCTAGAAGAAAGCACTAACAATCAATTGTAAAAAGAGAGAATGTATGGTTGCTGGCAAGAGAAAAAGGTCAAGACATTAACTACAAATTCGACACACCAAAATCAAACAAGTACAGAATTTGAAATATCTGTAAAGTGTTTTAAAAGATTAGGAAAAATGTGACAGTGAAACCACAAAGAAACAGGATAATTTTATTATAAACAAAGAAAAGAGTACTGAAATATCAATCTTCCTAAATGGCAGTAAATGCTAAACAATTCTCTTCACAGATGAAGAGAAGATTTGGGGTAACAGAAATGTAGGTCAATAGAAGAATGCTAAGAATACTATGGGAATAGCATGCAAGCAATGAGGAAGTCTTATACTTAGAATCAGAAATGGACAATTGAAATTTTTGGTACAAATGAGTAAGGAGCGTTTGGAAAATTTGACAGTCACAGGACATATCAAAGGCAAAACAAACAGGAAGAAGTAGCAGGCCACCTAGCTAGTGAGCTGATATGAATAGATAGCAGAACAAGGAGTGGGAGGGATGGTAAAAAATATTCAAACTTTACTAAAAGCTACAATAGACAGGAAATTGTGGAAAACCATGATTGCCTGAAAAGACATGGCATATAGAAGAAATGATACCCAAGAAAGTAAAGACTAGATTTGCCAAATGTAGTAAAGGATGCTATCAGCAAATCAGTTTCATCCCTATATAAAGTTTAATTACATAATACTGTTTTCATATCAATTAAAATGACTTGCTTTTTTGTTAGTAAAATCTTCTGTGAAAAGAAAATGAACAATAAAACATTAAAGTTTATATAATTGGTTTTTTAAAACAAAAGTTTAAAAGATTATTCCAAAGAATATATATTATATTCTTTGGAATAATCTTTTACCCTCCCACTTTTCTCTCCATTACCTGATGGAAATATCAATTTTGGTAAAAGTTTATTAGAATTTAAAAATACTTCAATATAAAGTCTTTTTTGCTTATACATAACAAATTTCAGTAATTTTTAATATAATACTTAAACAAAATTCTAAGATATAAAATTACTAGAAAATAAATCCCAACTGAATTAATATATGTAGATGAAAGAAGTAATTTGACTCCTGAAAAACAATTTCTGTAGAAATTTTTACTTTTTTATTGCTTTAAAAGTTTTTTGTGATTTGCTTGTGTTAAGGCATTACTTAATCATAGCAAAGATGCAACAATTGGTTTGGAGTAAATGAGTCAGTGTTTGTTAAAATTTGAAATAGAATTTAAACAAAAGTGGATACTGATTGAAAATATACACAATGTGTGTGTGTGTGTGTGTGTGTGACTTTGCAAGAGTCCTTTAGTAGGCAGATAAAAATCTAAAATTGAAAGACATTTCAATTCTGACAAAACAAATTTATTATAAACAATAAGTTCATTAAGCTAAAGGAGAAACTATTTTTAGAGAAATTGTATGCAATTTCATTAGATAAGTTTTATTTTAATTATGAATACACTTAATAGAATTTCTTATGGCTATTATTCTACAAAGAACAATTAGATAAAATTCTTAGTGGTAGAATTTTTACTGACAGTACAAAAAAATTAATTCTATCTAAAAACATTAAGCAATTGTAAAGAATAATTCTATTTTTCTCTATCTAAAAACATTAAGCAATTGTAAAGAATAATTCTATTTTTCTTGTATTTTTTACTAAGAACAACAAAAATATATATGGGACAGCATCTAAATTTGTGAATTAGTGAAAGGTAGCTGAAGCTGTGTATACTCATGTTTACACAAGGAATAGTGAATGTTTTTTTTTTATAAATAATACATGTAAAAAAATTTGGTTTAATATTAAAAATTTTTCTTATATGGTAATTATCAAAAAAGGCTAAATGATAATGAATGCACATACAAAAAGAAAAAATCACAAATGTTAAAGATTCTAATAAGATTATTTATATAATCTTGTTTTCTATGCATAAATATCAGAATTAGAAGAAACTAAATTTTTTTATATTGAATATTCAGTGAAATAATTCTTTGCATTCTACATCTATTTGTTTTTAGTTTAGAGTATGACACATAATTAATTCTGTTTCTCTACAGCGATAGAAAACATTCAACAGTTTATTGAAATAGGGTGAAGTCAGAAAATTGATCTCAATATTTGAAATTTACATTCAGGAATTAAAAAATATTTATGGCCTGACCTATGGCTGAAGTCACTACATATTTTCAACCAGTGCCAGAGTTGGTTTTCAAACCCAGGTTTTAAAAAAAACAAAAAAAAAAAAACAGGATTGTGAATGCTGATTTTCTTGGTTTGTAGACATTAACCACCTCCATGTGCAGCATTGGGGTAATCCACTCTTCCTGTCCAATGAAATATTGGAAAACTTGAACCTTTATACCTGAAAAAAAATGAAGTGTCAAAAGGATGGTTTTCCTCATTGACACTGCTATTATTTTAACTACCTTCACTCCTTGGCAATGTTTGTTTTAAAAAGTGATGATTAGAATTGTAATAAAACCTATATCATGGAAGTGAATTTATACATTTTTTTTTTTTTGTTGTTCTTGAGAATTTATAACAAAAGTATTAAACACTATTCGTTTATTTACAAGAATATTTTTATATTTACAAAATAGTAAAAACTAAGACAATTAAAACTAATGCAATGAAATATTTAACTTTTACTAATTCATAAATAAATATGAAATTTTTTTATCCAGATATTTATAAGCATTTAGTAAATTATTAAAATATGTGAACCAAGTATAAGGAAATACTTAATATTTACTATTTTATAATTTTTGAATTGATTGGCAATTAACTGATGTTTTGACAACCATTCCAATAAACAATATAATAAATAGTGTAAATAAACAATTTAATGTTTATTATTTTTGTTGTAAATTCTCAAGAACAAACAGAATGTATAAATTTACTTTCATATGTTAGGTTTTATTACAATTCTAATCATCTTTTTTTTTTTAAAACAATAAACATTACCAAGGATTGAAGGTAGTTAAAATAATAGCGGTGTCAATGGAAAAATCATCCCTTTGACTTTTTTTCTTTCTTTCTTTGCAGGCACAGAGGTCAAAGTTTTCTAGAATATTATTGTACTGATAACAGATCCTGATTATTTGACCGAAATTCAACGTGAAGGTACATTTTACTGGTCACATAAGGAAATTAACATTATATACTTGATTAAAGATTATAGCACTGTATCTATCCACAATGTTGATAATGGACAGGGTAATAGATGCTTGGACTGTACAGATAGAAGTATTGAGATAAGCTGCAGAAGTGGAATAGAAAATAAAAATTATGCAAACAAGATTTCTCATGAACTTGTAAATATAAAACATTTCTTTCACTGTAAATTCTTTCAAGAAATATTTTTGCCTCTGTGTCTCCTTGAAAAAGTTTCACGTAAAAAATTTAACAATTCTGTTAGAGATAACATACAAAGCAACATGAGTAATTTTCATGAAACATAATGGCTGTTAACCAATTCAAAAAGAATGTTATAACAGTTTTGATTGTTTTTTTGTTTTGTTTTTTTTTTTGTTAAAAGTAAAAACATAATGCAACTTACCAAGAACATGCGCAGTAAAGTAAATGATACTTGTGAGAAGAGATGTCTTTATTACATCCCTGTCAATGGCATGAAGGGTACTCCAGAAAACCCAGGCGAGACCTGAAATTGCAATACAGTAGTCTGAAAATTTACTTTGGTATATAAAATTTTAACAAAGATTTCTTGAATGAAAAATGTGTTTTTTGTAAGCATATTATTTTTTTTTTTTTTAACCCAACTTTTTCTTAAAACTGAATTTTTTTTGTATGGTTTTATTTTAAACAAAAAACAATATCTGTTAATATCACAGGATAATGTGTTTTCTTAATTTATTTTTTAGCTGATATCTATAAATTTGAACACATCTACTATATACTCATCTTCAATTAAGCTATGAACAAAACTCTTGCAAAAAATTCTTACTAAAGAAAAATAATTGGGGCTAGATTAGATTTGATAATGAAAACTTAGCACTCTTCAAGAAATATGTAAGAATGTAAATTACTAATTTAATATAAAAAGATCTTTTGTTTGAATATAGAAAAATCTTCAGAAATCTTTTATCAATATAAAACAAAGTCCTTCACTGTAAAGATTCAAATTATTTCAACAATATTTACACAAGTACATATGCCCAGAAATTAATGTCTATCAAGTGTACTTGAATAGTTTGAAACATTCCAATTTATTTAAGTTTGATGTAGGTAATTAAATTTCTTTTTCTTTATATAAAAAAAAAATAAATTGTTTTCTTTTAAAGACTTTGGTTGATCACAACTTATCCTGATCTTATAGTTGTACATTTTATGTCTTTCATAATCACATCCTCATTCATAATATCAGTGTAATATTTTTATAGCAAAAAAACCCCCAAAAAAACTATTTTTGAACCTCAAACTGTTATACTCTGCTTCAGATTAGACATTTTCCTGATTTATTTCAAATCAAAACCTGTCAGCTGGATGTGAATACTATGAAAGCAAATTAATTTGCTCTCTGTGCAGGAGCTCTGAGCATCATATCACATCTGACTAACAAAACAAATTCCCCACAAAATATAAAATTTAAATGTTGGAGCCAATCATAAATATTGCTGCTAAAGTAAAAGCATGACAAAAATGCTAAGTCATGTATCCATCCTGACTGCTTAAAAGGACCCACTCAGGGACACTCAAGGCAGTGTACAGGGAGTCAGTTCACTAGTGGCCTCTTGGGCAACTGGCATGATATAAGTTACAATGCCAGGCTCGTACAAAACTAACTCACCCATATTCCAGGCTCATAAGAAACATTCTACCTTGATCCATTATACTGACCATCATCATAGCTGTAATTTTTTTTAACACAGAACCAGGATTAACCTCACATAAAGCAAGGGGTGTACTGCCTGATAGACGATTTCAGTTTACCTCTCTACATATGCCTGTCACTAGCCTCAGTTAATTCTTAGCCCAATTTTTTCCTGTCTTTCTGAAAAATATCCTTCCAAATAATCTTGGGTTGTCTTTTACCTCTGCTGCACTCAACTGTCACCTCACAGATAGGCTCCATACTGTGCTCAACATGGCCAGTTAAGCATAGTCTTTGGCTGTGCAGCAATGACAAGGTTGTCAAGGCCTAGCTACTTGAAGGAAATCTGACCTGACCTCATCTTCAGTGGACATGCCACACATCCAATATATCCTGGCTCTGTCAGTAGCAATACAGATAATTTCTATTTTAGCATATCTTGTCTCCTTTTCTATCTCACCAGTAATGTTTTCATTTATTATTCTTACAACCATATGGTGTATAACAAACCTAAATATTTAAGAGCTGTTGACCACTTATTTTTTAATCATTTGATCAGTGTTTTAACTTCAAAGCAATAGTATAAGTTTCTCTTGATTAATAGCAATTGTCCTTGATCCCATATTGCTTTACAAAACTAATTGTTTTTTTCTTTTTTTTTGAGTGCCAAAATCAATGAAACATCATAAATTGATATTTAAGCAGAGGCAAACCAGACCAAAATATCTCTTTCCCCATTAGCAGTCAAGATGATCTCTTCTTTCTACTTCTGAATGAATATGTCACTTTTTGCTTTTCCACACTAGCTACAGCAATATGAAGTTGGGCCACTTTTTGAGGCAAAAAATGTTTGCACTATCATTTGATATTTTATTCTAGCACTGGAAGAAAGTACTGATACACCTTTTCTCAGTTAAGTAGAAGAATTCTTAAACAATTTTTGTCTTATATAAAAATGACTTTCAAATATTTCATTTTATAATAGTCCATAAAGCATGTTATCTATTTATCTTAAAGCAAATGCACTAACTATAACATATCCCTTGCAGCTTGTATACATATATGAACTCTTGAGACTGTTGAAAATGTGCTTTCTAATGCTTGCAATTTATTATGAAACAGTAGCAAAAACAAAGTCTATTCATATCTATATTTATATTATTAAAATTTAGTTATTGTGAAACATTAGTCTTTATTTCACAAACCAAACCTCACAACAAAGGGAATCAGATTATCTAGGGATGAGCCATAAATTTACACTTCCCAAATACTTATCCTTCCTAATAAAGAACTCCTGTGTTTTGATTTTTTAATCACAATTTCACTTATGGTTATGAATACCATTCCTGTTCACCTTTAGCATGTTTCATAGGATCTTTGCTAAATTTTCTCCAGGTTAGGTAACATAAAGAAAGAGGCTTTAATTATAACAAGACAAAGAAAAATGTAAACAGATGTCAAGCCAATGAGGAAGGTTCATAGAGAAAGTATTGAACTTTTTGCCTTTTAATCACTAAAAGAGAAATAGACACAAACCATCACATTAATGTGCATGTGGAAAATATAAGCCACTCATAAAAGTCTATCTTTGGTAAGGTTTAGGCACAAACTAAATTAAAAAGAAATCTCATTTACAGGAAGAAACAACAAAAATTATATGCCAAACAAAGGGTCATTTTTCCTGGGTCTGGGTGATTCTAGGGAGGTCTTTCTCAACTTTTTGGTCAAAACTTGAATTTTGCCTCTACTCTGTCTTAGTTTAGTGCTCTCTGAATTCATGTTGGCTGTGTGCAAACTTATGGTATCACTTCCAGTTTATGACCTTAATTACTTACTCTCAGTAATCTAGCTGACCTAGCTAAAACCTGATGTTGTATTATTTTTTTGCTTAAACTAGATTGAGTGGAATGATAGATGTAATAATTTAATTTTTGTTAATCCTGTACTCCTCTTTCCAAAGACGATGTTTAGTTTTAGCATTATAGCTCTTTTTTTTTCTAACACAAAGCATTTGCTTGTTTTAAGGGATTCTTGTTTGGATAGTTTTTTCTTTTTTATCAGGTTTGATTATTATGACTATTTAAAACTTTGTTTACTTGTAAAACATACAACTAGATCTTAAGTTATTTTAATTATATAAGTTAGAACTATCTAGAATAAAAGTTAAAATATTTTTTTTCAAGATTGAAATGAGTGTAAAAAAAACACTTTCATTATTTTTGTTTCAATTTTGAATTTTGCAAATTGATAAAATGCAAGTTTGCTAAGCAGAAACCAATATGACATGATCATGAGAACCTATTTGTCCTTTGGAGAGAAAAAAACAACAAAACATGACTTCAAAATCACTACAAAGATGAGTATATTTTTATTTTCTTTTATATACCAAAGGTACCTATATATATATATATATATATATATATATATATATATATACACACAAAAACAAACTAAATGACAAGAATTATTCTGATTGGCTAAGGATGAATGACATAAGAGGTATGATCATGCCTTGTTGGGTAATGGTAAAAGAGAAATGAACCAATGAAATATCAACATGAAGACTGGACTTTGGAACAACCAACCAACAAAATTTGGGATAGTCAGTCATCAGAAACCCTGAGTACTCTAAACTCTAGACACCCTTCTGAATTTTCTAAATACAAACTCTTCAATTTAGCTCCTCACTTGGTAAAAGGGAGATCAGCAAATCTTGTCAACATGCGGCTTAGTGAACCCTAAATCTCCAGTAAGATGAAGTGTTTAGCTAGAGAATTGCAGAGAACAAGTAAATGACAACTCTTGATTGAAGGCCTCAGACAACTGTTCTTGTATAAAACAATTTCACTTTTCTTTTGCCACAAGTCCTCTATAGAAGTTAACTGACTGTAGATTAAGAAGATACACCATCTTAACTGAAGTGCTGTTAATGTTTGTAACACTGACTGAATAAATGCAGTTTCTTATATTCTTAATACTTTTTTTCTGCCATTTTCATATCACAGTTATTTTTTTTTATGACCAAGTACACTAAATAGAACAGATGTTTCAGCAAAATTCTCCAAGAGACTTCAAATATAAAAATACACAACGTGGGTGGAAAGTGACACGGGCCAACAACTGAGGTAAACTTGTTGACTTGTCATATAACTGAAAGCTGTTTTTTGATGTTTTCTTCTTCATCCTTACAATATTTATTTGTTTACTTTAGTTTTCATTCAAATTGTTACTATCTGGATACAAAAGATTTTACAAAAAAACTAGACTAACAAAACTTTTTTCCTCTTCTGTGAACTTTTGATATTTGTTAGATTATGCCAACTTTAGTCTATTCTTAGAGCTTTTGGTGGTGAACAAATTTACTGTCAAAGTTAAATGAAACACTACACTTTCACAAATGTTTCTAAATATGATAAACTGAAATTCAACTTGGAATTTTAGTTCATTGCTTGATCCACTAAGTTGGCTTCATTTTTTTCTTATGCTTTGAAATTTTTGATTTATCTTGTATGAAAGATGAATACATATTGGTATCTTTGTTGATCTCTTCAATTATAGATATGATAAGCTTAAAAACTAGTTTGCACATCGATTTTAGCAATTTAATGATACTATTCTCTTATAATAATAAAACCAATTTAATTTTCAATTTCTCTAGTAATAGTGATAACAATTTTCTAACAAAAACCACCAGATATCCAATGAACATAAAAATAGATAAAATCTATAAACAGAAGATGTCTGTGTGCATGTGTGTATGCAATTTATGCATGTCCACATTTCTAGACCGATTTTGATACACATACACACATTGCAAATTTACCAACATA